TATTTACATATCTCGCACCCAAACTTTCATATTTGCATGCATAGCACTTTGATGCTTTAAACCTGTGTATTAAAAGGTGTATTTCACTTTAAGAAGTGGTAATAGTGCTATTATTTATGTGATATTAGACATTTGAGTGTTGTGTCTGTAAATATGAAAGTTTTAGTGTGACATATGTAAATGTGTAAGCTTTGTGTGCTATGTATGTAAATGTCCCTAAATGTTTTAATGGTAAAATTTCTGATTGCCAAACAGGTGCTTCAATATGAGCATAATAGCACAAACCCTGGGTTTGAAATGAGGTATATCTCAATACCAATGAGGATGATTTTGGCCATTCTTAAGACCCAAAAGTACCTAAATTTGTTTTATGACTAATTCGAATATAAATATACATTTGCAAAAATATAAAATCATAAACATACTAAGTAAAATTTTTATGCATGTCATTGAATTATTATGTATTTGTATATATTTTATATTTATTTATACAATGCCCTAATTCTTAAACCACAACAAAAGAACCACAGAGTCAGTTGACTCCCTTTCGGCTGCTGCCGACTGATCTCCCACGACCTTCCAAGGAGTCGACGCTTAACCTAGTCAGGCCTCTGGCGAGTCAGAAACAGGAATCAGGTCGACTGCACAAGAAAGTGAAATAAGGGGATGCTAAATAACAATTTTCACAAATAAATCAGGAATCATACTCCTACCAAGGAGTCCATCCACTTCGGACTAGAGCAAAGACGAGGAACTCTCACCAGGAGCAGCTGGAACACCTGCAGCTCTATCAGCCCATAGGTAGTGTACTTCAAGGAATCCGCCAAGCACCTCTTCCATCCGCTCGGCTTGAACGTCCAGCGACCGTGCAAGGATGACGCCCGAACCCTTCCCATGTCTCCGATACTCCAACGGAACCTCGTCCAACAAATTCCTCTCATTGTCACATTCGCTTGAGAAAACCCTTTTAACAACTAATTGTTTTATGTTTCTTTTCTTGGCAGGCTGATTGTCTTTCGGGGCGTCTTCAACGCTCGCCGAACGAACTGATATGAGTATGATGGATGCCTCTCCGCAGAAGTGTGCAAGGGGGCGCCCTGTGTCGATACTGAAGTTTAGTATTATTTCAGTTTTTTTTTTTTTTAAAAAAAATTTAAGTGGGGCTCACCGAAATACATTCGTAAATCAGATTATTTACGGTCAGGATCGGACGAAATATATTCGTAAATCAGATTATTTACGGTCAGGATCGGACACCGCACGCATCGGATCCGCATGGAATAATTTTTCCTCCAGCAAACCCTTTCTTTTCACTTGCCATCAAAGCGTCCGTGAAGAAGACCATCAAAAGCCTAAAAATATTAACTCAGGAGTATTGATGAATCACTATTCCAATGATGGAGTGTCACGAGGCGCCACGGTGAGACCATTGCATACATGACACCTCATCATTGGAGTAATGATGCATCAATACTCCTGAAGTAATATTTTTTTCTCAAACAAAGCAAAAATTCTAGTGCTACAATCCCTGACGACAAATTATTTATAGAGCAACAGTGCACAAAAATTTAGAAAATTTAATTATTAAATGTTGTGTTCAAAATATTAATTAAATTTGCATTTAATGCGGCGTTCAGCTTTTAGGTTTTTCTCATAGCTATCACTTTCAGAAAATGATAAAGTTGTGAAACTAAATATGTTTGATCATATTTGGTGAAACACGAATGTCAATAGAGGGATAAGCAACACGGCCAGCGAAGTGGGTCCCCAACCAAAATGAGTCAATAATAATTAGCAAAACTAAATCGGGTTACTCACAAAATTGGTGTTCGGGTTAAAAGATCGGCACAAAATCCCATTAAGTTGTTTAACTAGATAGCTAGATAGCTCAGATTGAAGCCGAACAAAAGATATCTGTAAGACCAGCCAAATGAAGAACTATCTATCACCTCGAGGGCGAGGCTGGTGAAGGAGAGTTTAGAAGAAGTCGTAGATAAGATTGAACGAGAAGCTCTCATATTATCCTCTCATGATTCTGCCCGTTCGAGACGAATGAACAAGGATGAGCTAATGAGCAAAGAGTCTTCGTTGTCAACAGATATTTATTTAACATATTTTGAAGTATCTGATAATTGACTTTAATACCCTTGATTTTCCTTTATACAGTGGGGGCATAAAGGAAAATATGTACGGATGTATCTCCTTTACCTATAAATAGAAAACTCATTATGAGTAAAAAAAGGGGGATGGAAGCTTGATTTTATTGTTCATTAGTTATCATATTACCTGTGCTTTATTCATTGGGTGGGATTCGAACATTTTTTTGTTCAACAAATATAACACAGAAATTTATATACATACCACATAATTCTTATGCATTTACATATTT